ATCACACCAGAAAACAAATTGATGCACATACACAATCTTCTGCATGTAGCAGAAAATGAGACCTCAGGAGATACATGGAGCTAAAATGTAAAATCACGGTGGGTGGGGCCGAGCGCAGGGAAAGGCACATCAGCGGCTTCCCGGAGAGAGACACGCACACTCAGAGGGCCAGCGTGTGAAAGTTACCTGGGGCAGCGGCACTCTTCAGGGCTTTCACTAACTTTCCCCTTCCAGCTCCAAAACCATTATGTCCACAGTCCAGGTCACTGTCACTATCACTGCCACCGCTGGCAGAGTATGTACACATTCTGGGTACCTTGTCCTAAACGAGTAATATGAGACTGTTAAGATTATTCACACAAATAAATCAAAATGGGGCAGAACATCCTGTGAGGAGGTGACACGGTTCACATCTGGCTGTCACAGTGTGCACGGAATTCCATTTCCACCGTGCAGCCCATCCCTGCCCCCACACCCACCCCAGAACAACTCTGGTTTGCCAGTTTCTCTGCCTCCCGCAGAGCTGCACTAACGGGCCATGCGATGATGAAGCCATCCACAGCACTCGGCCATTGTCCCAGGTTCAGGAAAGTCCCCATGATTACCTGCTCTGCATTTTGTATGCTTCTTTATAGGGTCTTATTTTTCGAAACTGCCTATTATGAGCCATTGTTCCAAGACTAATGGTTTATTTATTTAACTGATCTCACCATTGGCTTTCGAGTATCAGAGGGTATTAAAACAATCAACTTTGGGAACAAAAGAATAAATGTTTGTATAATTTATAACTTCCAGCCACCAAAAGGACAGTAGCCTTTAGGAAAGTAAGCAACTACTCAGTATAATCAATATATATAATCCTCTAATCTGCTGACAGTTCATGGGCTGAGAGACTCAGTTTCCTCTTTTGCTCATATGCACATGTAGCCTGACCACCCCCCTCCCCCAGGGGTGTCACTGGTGTGGCAATAATGCCGTGTTCAGGAATTGCTGTGGAGGTTGATACTGTATGAACAGTTTTCCCCTCTGTGCACACAAGTAGAATACTGGATCTAGGACTGCAACTCCTGTGTGTTCAATCAGGGGTATTTGGGACCCTCTTTTCTGCTTGTAGACTACTGTTAGAACTTATTATCTGCCCCCCCATCCCAGACAGTTCAGGTACAGATGGACAGGATGGGTCTCTAAAGTTTGTGTGGGAGGGTGTCATTTGGTTGGGAATTGTAGAAACACATTTCAGGATGTAAGCTCCCTTGGCTGGGGTTACAAATTCAAGCACTCATTTCCTTGATTCCTTCTTTCATTTACTCATTCACCCACCCATTCAACAGGTGTACATTGAGTACCTACTCTGTGCCAAGAAGCGTTCTAGGGGTGCAGAGCTCGATACTGGCTGTGGCTCCAGGGGAACCCTGTGTCCAGAATTCCAAAAGGACTCCAGTAACACTTTCTGGGTATGATAAGACACATTCTTTTGTCCCTCCACTCAATAAACACAAACAGAACCAGGTACTTTGCTGGGTACTGGAAATATGAAGATATTTTTGTTTCAAACTTTCCCTACCTGGCAGTCAATGAAGAAGAGTTTTAAGTTCCAAGCCAAAGTGGTGACCCTTACAAGTCAGGGCAAGATTTCCAGAGGGCAGAATTCTGCAGGATGAAGAGGAAGGGGACTCCAGAGAGGTATGTATACTGGTGGATGTGTATGTTGTATGAGGAGTGTCTAGCCATTACATGTAGAGGGGACAGGTCGCCTGCAGGCCAACATTGCATACCTTCCCCCCCCCTTACTTTTCCGGAATTATTTAAACCTCTATGCCACTGTCTCCAATTGCTTCTGAAATGGTTTTCCCCTCTCCAACTCTGAGTGTCTCTTACAGTTTTCTCAATGCTCCAGTCCCCAAGCAAGCACAGAGTCCCTTGGCACAGTGATGCAAAGCTTTGCAAAGTGGGTTGCACAGACCAGCAGCATCAGCATCACCTGGCAATTTGCTAGAAATGTTTCGACCCCACTCCCCATATACCAAATCAGACACTGAGTGCATGTGGGGCAGCAAGATATGTAGCCCTCCAGGTAGTTCTCATTCGCACTCAAGCCTGAGGACCACTGATTTGGAGCTCTAACAGTTCTGTGCTTAAGTTAAGGCAGAATAGAATACAATGGTGTAACTCCATGACCAGTGGAGGCAGTTGTTCTTAGTGCTGGACATGGAATTCATGGCCCCGGTTCCAGTCTTATCTCTGTAATACTTTCCCTTGAACCCTGAACACGGTCCAGCATGTCTCTGGAGTTGGTGTTCTGTGCTGTAAATTGAGGCTGTGGACCCGAAAGATCTTTTCCTTATCTTATCCATGGTCTCATTTCCATACTGAGGTGCTCAAGGCTGAAAGACGGCTCAGCCACAATGGCTATGGACCTCAGATGTGGGCAAATCTGGGTATTTCCTTATCAAAGTTGGACAAAAACTCTAGTAAAAACAGTGACAGGGGCTCTTGAATTGGGAGAGCCAAAGGCAGCAGAAGTGGGAAGAGTCATGGAAGGGCCAGGAAGCTCTAGGAATTGATCTATCTGTCCTTCTTCCACCCTTCTTGCTTCCAGGCACCACCAAAGACCTCATGGTGGGCCAGCTCCAGGACAAGTTGAGAAAAAGGGAACAGGTTGAATATGGTCAAAGTAACCAGTTGAAAGTGGTAATACCAAGTAACCCCCAAGGGATGATCCAAGCGTCCTTGAGCCACAAGTTCCTCCCTAGATCCAATCACACATCAGGAGGCCTGTGTGTGCCCCCTCAGGGTGGATGGAGAACCCACAGCAAAGATCATGGAAAGTGAAGAAACTCAGGTCTACCGACCCTGGGAATTCATTTGATCCAAGCCTGAGTTTATTCATCCCTAGAAGGAACAGAATTATACCTGTTTTCCCTGTCTCATGGGATCAAG